TTATTTGCTTTGTGTGGTTGGCCTGCAGCCTCTGATCGTTTGTCACCCCAGGCTGACCACGCCTGGTTAGTTCAGCCATACTCCAGCATGCACTACTCCCAAACTCTTATCTGCAGTCATTTCACAGCCAGATGATTCTTCTATAAGCAAATTATTCTTTGGTAAGTAAGTAAATTCTTCCAAAATAAATTATTCATTTAATCGTTGTGGATGTTACTTGCTGCCCTTATGGCAGATTTGATTGAAGTCTCAATCCAAGCACGTGGCTGTGTTGTGTGTTCGCCCGCAAAATAGATCCTCCCTTCATTCTGGGACAGAATCCAAGAATAATGGGTAAACTGGTATGGTGTGAAGGTGCTGAACGCTCCCATCGAATATTGGTCAAGGTCCCATTTTTGTATCACGTATTTGTCACAAACTGATTTGAGATAGTCTTTAGATACCTGATGGATTTCCACAAGGTCATCCATTACCACATCCACACACTTTTCCTCACTGAGGGCAGCATAGAAATCAGAGTCAAAATGCCGAGTGTAGGATGCCAGAAGGACCCCTATTCCATTAGGGAAGTCATGATTTGGGTAGTAAATCACTCGTGATGGGAGATCTGTGATCGATCTGCCCCCTCGAATCCCATCGTTCTCCCAAAATTTCTCAGTGCAAACCAAGGCAATTTTAGTAGTGCTTCCATAACTCAAAGACCGTAGTGCACGAGACTTGGGAGTTGAAAGAGGTGGCACAAACTTGATGAGTCGTGTGGCCTTTGCTGTAGCTGTGATAAGGACATAGTCAGCAATCAGAGATGCAGGGACAGAGTTGACCAGCCATTTGTAGAAGACTCTCACTTTCTTGCCAGCACGAAGTATCTTCTCCACAGTGCAATTAAACTGGACGATTCCAACCATTTCCCAGAAGAAAGCTTGAGGAAGTTGATCAAATCCACCCACAATTTCATCAAAACTGAGTTTGAGAGCGAGGAGGAAAAAACAAATACAAGCACAGGTTATTTTAGTGAATCTCAAAAAAGTGAGCATTGTTTTTGAAGACAATGTTAATGCAGTCCATTATCAACTATTTTAGCCCATCAGCTATAGATCAAAGGTTGGTCAGTTTCTGTCTCAGAACCAGTACTGTTCTAGCTATCATAGTTGCCAAGAAGATAAAATAGCAAATATACAGTGGTTTATAATCTAAAAAAAATTAGAGGAGACAAAATTTAACAATAAAAATAAATAACAGGAAATGCACTAAATAAAAAAATATATGAAATAAACTATAAAAAAACCCAGTAGTCTTTGGTTCCCCCCCCCCCATCTAATTCTTTACCTGTCTTTTGAGAA